AGCCCATTAATCAATTGGTTGGGCTTTTAGGTCACTTTGGGCCTCGTTGGGGCCCAATTAAGGTCTGATTGGGCCCATTAGGGTTTCTTTGGACCCATTAGGGTTTCATTGATCCCACATTGTCTAAACATCCCCCAAACGAGGTCCAAACGCAATCGATGCAGACCGCAAAACGATACGGCGGCCGGTGGCGACAGGAGGTGGCAACCACCACCCTATGGTGGTGGTGATAGATTTTCTTTTCCATTATTCCATTTTGTTACAATTTTCAACACCATCGAATTAACATACACTCACACATACTAATAAACACACACACACAAACATAGCCACCTAATGGAGATAGGCGGTTGTTCATGGTGGCAGCCACCACCTTATAGTGGTGGTGGTGGCCTACTACAGATTCCAGCTAAGAAAGCCACCCACACACGAAATTAACGCCGTAAAGTGGAAGTGTAGGCACATTCATTCCCAGAAATAGACCCAATACCCACCTGAGGTGGGCCGCGACGACAACAGGAACATGAAAAGCAAGTAGCGGTAGCGGCCCTTGGTAGCAGAACTTCCCCACGTCAACGGATGCTTCGAACGACAACCACAATGGTAGAGGAACGGACCCGTAGGTGGTCCTCGTCTTCATCAGCAGCATCTGCTGTGGCATTGGTTGGAGATTACAACCTCTACATCAGGGTGGCGGATCCTATCATCTCTCCCGATCATCCCCGATGTCCGGCAGTGGCACTGGTGAGTCATGAGAAACAACAACACCTACCATTGGCGCTATTGGTGGGAACTCCGAGTCGAAGCAGCATCAGCAGCGGAGAGATGCCCATTCGTGAGCTCATTGTCGATCTGATCGGCGATAGAAACTCCGTACGTGGGTTTTCCCGGTGTTCCTCACGCAGTCAAGATGTTGTTCATGGTGGTTATGACTCGATGGCAATGGGGGTGTTGCAGCATCGAAGACCCGAAGGAAAGAGGGGTGGTGATGGCTGAAGGGAGGTTAGAGGGAGAGTGGTGGTCGGTTGAAAAGATTAGGTTAGGGTTACCGGGTGGTAATGTTTAAATGCCCCTCCCTCTTAAACATTTTTCAACAATGACAAAATCACCCCTCCATCTTCTATTCTTTCAATTTTAATCCAAATGTTACCATTTCTACCATGGCTCCAGAAACTCTTTACAAATCAAATCTGTAATTTACCCAACAGCCCCCAGCTTCTAAAATCTTTTCAATCTAAGCCCATCATTTACCAAACAACCCTTTTCCTAAAAAATCCTTTGCATAATAAATCCTGAAATTACACTTTAACCCCCAGAGATTCATATCTTGTCATTAGGCTCCCCGAAACCAACACCCTAGAATTTGTTATTCGATTTTGGGCTATAATAATATAAAATAATAATAATAATTACTCCCCGGGGTTCCTTATTTATTATTTAATTATTCTACTTAAAATGGGATGTTACAACTCTCCCCCAATTAAATTTGATTTTGTCCTCGAAATCGTTTCTTATCATTCCTTACATGCCAGATAATTTGAACTACATGGTCACTACTACAAACATAATGGAAGCCCTCCCAAGGTAATCGTAACAAACCCTCGCATGGTTCTAATACCTAAAAATAAAGGAATCCCTTGGAATATAATCACATTTACTTAATCCGAATCTGTAGTCTCGAGATGGTCCGTCTCCTTGATAGACTGTCCACTCTGAATCACTGAAGAATTCATTGCACTTAACTCCCAATTGGCTACTAACCTACTGATAACCTAAGGTCCCTACCAGAGTACAAAACCACATATCATACTCTACTTCCAAGAACTCATTACTGAACGTAAAAGACTGGATACCCTTTTGGAGAAAGCTAATTCAGATGACAAAATTTCAAAGGATACGATGAACAATGGGAGACAACTGAGAGGTGAACCCTTAAGTGCTGACATAACAGTGCTTCCTGTAACTACCGAACCATCATATAAATAACGATCATTTCTTAAGCACGAACACTCATACTTGGCCCAATCAACCTCGGGCTAGAATACCAGGCATGCCTACAATGTCTCCAATCATTCCTAGGATGGAATACCCTAGATTAGAATACTACTATATACATAACTCGGGTCTAACCCATAACTTGAAATCCAAGGACCTATTCATGCATCTCATCCAAAAATCCTTTGATTCACCACAACTAAGTAACACTCCCCTGAAATACCGGGTTCCTGCCCGATCGCAGAGCTAAAGAACTCCCACATAGTTCCCTCACACGATCTCCAAACAAAATCCTAACCTGGAACTAGTTTCCCATAGTTATCATGCCACTGCAACTCTAACAACCTCTTGATCCAATCTATCAGGTCCATGCGTCGTATCCCACTGTTACGAAATCCACGACTAAAAGCGATTGCTAAATGACCAATGGTAGCCTCACATCACAAGCAACCTTAATCAATCTACTGCATCCTTCAACTCAAACTATTGTGACGTTCCTATAGTCTTATCACAGGCTTAATTAGCTCTAATCCCCCTGGGAAACCCATAAACCAATCCGTGGATTTTCATATCCTCACTGCTACATCCAAACTAGGGGTACTACTGCCCCTTCCGCGTCCTAACAACGTGCTCATGTTGCCTACTAACCTAGTGAATGTTGTAGCTACACCCATAGACTTACATCACTCCCCATATTACCTGATCACTAGTGAATGATACGCCTGCCCCCGTAGTCTTACAACACTTCCTGTATCGACGTGAATTTTCAAAACAATTTTTCATTTTTGCAAACATCAAAACCAACATTTAATATTCTAAAATCATATGTGTAACAAATGTCATTGTAACAAAATACATCCCATGATCATAAAACAGTTCCTTTTTCAGTGTGTACAATCATGCCGATGCATTCCCACGGTCCTCGCTAGTACCTGAAACACATAACACAAAAACTGTAAGCATAAATGCTTAGTGAATTCCCCAAAATACTACTTACGCACATATGCCTTTCCAGGACCTGACCTTCCGGTCCATGTGTCTTAGGGGACTTCCATCCTGACTCGGTAAACCTTGCGGTCCTACCTGCATCAACCTTACGGTCCACATCACAACGCCTTCCGGCCCATAACATATACGCCTTCCGGCCCATAACATAATGCCTTCCGGCCCATATCAAGCATATCATACATAGCACATATAAACGATTAACTTATCATATACAATGCATATAACTCATAACATATGCGACCTTCCGGTCACACACTAAAAACCCTTCCGGGTACAGTATAGTGATAAAACTCACCTCGTGGAAAGTCTAGAATCTCGCGTACTTGCCATCTCAAAATCCCAACGAAGACTCAACCTCGCCTAATCATAACGAAAATTATTTTAATTAATATAGACTTCAACAACTAGACTTTACCCCTTATCATCATTCCTTAGAGGGTAAAAGACCGTTTTACCCTTCCTTGACTCAAAGTCCACATGTTGACCAAAACCCTAAAAGTCAACAAAAGTCAACATTCCAGTACGCGGGGCGTAGAGCTTGATGTATGTGGGGCGTACATCGCCAACCCAGGAATTGGGATCTCCACCCAGTACACTATGCGTACTGGGAGTTACGCCCAGCGTAACCTTCAGTTCTAAACACTCTTTATTTTTGGTCTTAATTGGTTAAGCCATTACTTCAACTTCTAGATCCGGCTTTATTTAAGCATCTTTACCCATAAAGTCGAAACCTTTAAGCCTTGGCATGGCTGTAAAGGCTCCTACACTCCTTAACATCTTCCTATTCCAACTCAAGGGTCTAGATCTCATTCATGGTTAAACATTCACGTCCAAGATTACGTTTTTGTGAGTCTACAACTCAAATAGACCAGAAATATGATGGATCTAAGCTAATGGAGACCTTTTGCTCATAAAGTCTCCACCTTTGGGACCAAAACCCTAGAAAATGGTCCATAAAGCATACCACAAAAACTACAAGTCAAGATCTGAACTTTTTACCTTAGAATGAAGCTGCAACCTTTTCTAAGCCCGGATCTACACTTGAACACCAACTTCTAGCCTTCCCAAAGGATTCTTCTTCTCCTTTGCTACTTAAAAATCACACCACCAAGCTTAGAACATACACAAAAGGGATAGGAACGAAGGAACACTTTATTAGGGTTTCTTTCTGAGGGATGGTGGTTGGGGAATCAAGCCATCACATTCCTTTTATAGCCAACCACCACAATCAGGGTTTTTGTGTTTGAACCGGTTACGCGGAGTGTAACCTTAGGTACACCACACGTACCCGAGGGTGAACGCGCTTAAATGAAGCACGCGAGTACGTGCAGCGTACTCCTTGTACACCCAGCATACTCGCCCAACACGCAAAACCCTAAATGGAAACAATTTAAAGATGAAGAGCTAAATAGAAGGGTACCTGGATTTCGGGCCGTTACACTTCCCATACCGATCTAGCACGCACTCCACCTAACACACAACTGAATGTAACTCATGGCTAGAATCCCTACCTGATTCCTGAAATTCTACTATCAAGCATTGAAAAGACGCGATTTACATGTCGGGAAGTTTTACTGGACTCCCAAGTCACACAACCCTAAACCTTGAACGGCCCCTTGGGTTGTCTTCCTTCCTGACAATGATGCAAAATTTATCCCATCCTCAGAACCCATCATGCTTCTACATTCAAAGATGGTTATGCCCCACTTAGATTCAACTAAGTCTTCACAATACATTAAAATTTTAGAATTCCCAATCCATCTCACTTTCCAACAATCGACCTGATAACAACTAGACCTTTCCAACTGGTACTCCTTTACTAGCCAACCACAAATGATGATACACTTCTCTGCACTAGCTGAACACTTCCTGAATTCCAGTGAAATCAACAGTCCCTAATTCTTGAATGATTCCACACTCATATCTTGAAGTCCATAAGATAGATGCTCCAACTAACATCTCAGCAACGAGCTACTTCCTTAGGCGTTTTCCTCATCTATCCAATAACGGTTACTGAACTACTGAAACCTGATGATGCTGAATAACCATCATGTGGGACCTTGTCCACAGACCTCCCACATAATTCCCTTCTTCCCAAAGTGTTCTAACAATTATCCCACTTTGGCTCTATGAATTATATCATTCAAGGCCTCGCACCCTGATTCACTCACCAACTCAATCATCCACAACTGAACAGCAGTAGCTGAAACAACCTTTTCCCTAAACCGGGCTACAACTACTACCAAACATAGTCTACAATCCGAAAAGTGCAATAGATTGCACAATCAATCCTTACCACCTGACACAAGTGATCAATGGCGAACTAAACCTCACAAAATACTTATTCCACGTCGACCCATCTGCGTTCACCAACGCTGAACTACTGTCGCCAATCCCGACGACTAACTGACCCCAAGCTGAAAGACAGCCTCATCCTGATGTCACAAGCCTGCTCATTCCTTTGAGTTTGTGAAGCTGAAAATGGGTACAATCCTTGCCTTAGAAAATGACATTCCTATCCATCAATTAAGCCTTCTGCTTCACGTTGTGAAACTCTAGCTGATCATAATCATCACTCTCTTTCGGATTCCATGCGACTCAAATCCCGACCTCTAACAAGACCCATGAAACATCAAATCTAGAAACTCATGTGCTAGACTCTCCCACTCAACCCGCAGGATGTAACGAGTAAATAAAATCTCCCTGGTCCCAAGTAACTGCATCCCTCTGCTCATCAGAATATGTCCCAACAACAAGTCCCATTATAGGAAAGTTTGACCAGCTCCTTCCCTTGTCGTCGTTATAGTTGCTATAGCTTCCACGACAACCGTCTCGGCAATGGCTGCATAGCGCTCGTTGGAATACTCAACCATGAAGGTCTTGATAGACCCAAACATCTTCGAGAACTGTTCCCTGACAACCCCTATCACATCCTCTGGGATGATCTCACTACCACGGTCCTCTGATAATGCTGGCCTATCTTGGCTGCTAGC